CAACCCTCCTCCCCAAAAACGAGCTCACCTCCCGCCTTGCTCGCCGCGCCACCGTCCACCCCTCTCACCCGGCGCAAGCCTCGTTCGCCGAAGCCGCCGCCCTCTGCTACTCCAAAGTCAACAAGATCATTGAAGAGTGTCGCCGCGTCAACCAAAAGTACCGCGACCCGCACTTCGATCTCGAATTCGACCTCAAAACCGGCAGGCGCGACTGCCTGGAGTCGCTGGACAATACCAAGGAGGAGTCCTCATCGGACGACAGCGATTCTGATTCCTCACGGTCGAGGTCAAGCCGGAGACACAGAAGGCGGAGGAGGCATAGAGATGCCGGCGATGGCGCCGTGGCAGGGGAAGCGGGAGTGCGGCGACCGCATGGGAGGGCGCCAGGCTCGAGGTTCGCGCCGAAGAGTGTGAAGCGCGTAGGGGAGATTTTCGACGACCCAAAGTTTTACATTGACGGGCCAACCGCCAACGATGTGCGACAGGGCCGAGACGGCGACTGTTGGTTGATGGCGGCCCTGTGCACACTGAGCAACAAACCGGGCCTGATCGAGAAGCTGTGCGTGCACCATGATCCCGACGTGGGTGTGTATGGATTTGTCTTCCATCGCGACGGCGAATGGTTCAGCGAGATCATCGACGACAAGCTGTATTTGACCAAGCCGGACTATGATGAAGCCATCTCGGACCGACTCAACATTGAGCGGTTGCTGTGGGACGATGGGCGCGAGAGGCCCGACTCGGAGGAGATCTATCGCAAAACCTACCAGTCCAACAGCGGGGCCCTGTACTTTGCGCAATGCGAGAACCCAAACGAGACGTGGCTGCCGTTGCTGGAGAAGGCGTATGCCAAGGCCCACGGGGACTATGCATCCATCGAAGGCGGATTCACCGGAGAGGGAATAGAAGACCTGACCGGCGGTGTCACTTCGGAATTGTTCACCACAGATATTCTCGACAAGGAGAGCTTCTGGAAGAACGAGCTGATGCAAGTCAACAAGACCTTCTTGTTTGGGTGCTCGACGGGTCTTTGGGGTCGGGGCTGGGGCGACCGCAAGGGAATTGTTGAGCAGCATGCGTATTCAGTTATGCGGGCCGTGGAGATGGACGGGGAGAGGCTTTTGTTGCTGAAGAACCCCTGGGGGAAGTCGGAGTGGAAGGGACCCTGGAGTGAGTTCTCCTTTCCTGCAAACTCGTATTGTGCGCTGACGATGCAGGCGACGGCTCGAAGGAATGGACCCCTGAGTGGCTTCGGAAGCTCGACCACCGCTTTGGCGACGATGGTGCGTTTTGGATCTCGTACAAGGAGCTGTTGAGGAAATACCAAAACTTCGACCGAACTCGTCTGTTCGGGCCTGACTGGAAGGTCACATCCATCTGGACGACCCTCTCCGTTCCGTGGACGATCGAGTACCACGAAACCAAGTTCGCCTTCTCTCTTGCCAAGCCGGGGCCCGTGGTCATTGTCCTCTCGCAGCTTGACGACCGGTACTTCCGTGGCCTCGAAGGGAAATACGAATTCAGCCTTGCCTTCCGTGTTCACAAAGCTGGCCAAGACGACTATCTTGTGCGCACCCAAGGCTCATACCGTATGCGCCGCTCTGTCAATGTTGAGCTCAACCTCGAGGCGGGCGAGTACCTGGTTCTCGTCAAGATCGATGCCATACGCTATGACGATGTCATGCCGCCAGAAGACGTGATGAGGAAGCATGCCAAAACCAGCCGTGAGAAGCTTCTCCGCATTGGCCTGGCCTACGATCTCGCCCACGCAAAAGCAAAGATTGTCGAAACAGCAGAGGAAAGGGCTGCGAGAGAGGCCTACGAGAAGCGAAAGAGGGAGAAAATGCGAGATCGGCTGAAGAAGGCCATCATAAAGGACAAGGAGCGCGCCCACTACTTCGACCAGAAGCGAGTTATAACTCAGCGGAGGAAAATCCGGAGGGCAAATGAACGGCAGAAGGCAAAGGCAGAGAAAAGAGAAGCCGAGGCGAGGAAGAGAGAGGAGGAACGGCACCGGGCCGAAGTAGAAGAGGCCGAGAGGAGAGAAGCCGAGTACAGGAAGCAGGCCGAGCACGAGGGCGATGAGACCAAGCAGGGAGATACGACTGAGCCCAAGATAGAGGCGGAAGAGTCGCAGCGGACCGAGAAACCTGGACCAGCTGCAGACGATAAACTTGCCGATCTCGAAGCTCCAGAGCCAGAGACATCGACTGATGCTGGCGAGCACACCCCACCAACTTCGGCTTCGGCCACGACCGGCTCAGAAGCGTCGACTGGCCAAGACAAAACGCCGACCGCAGGACAGCGCGGACCAGAAGATTCTCCAGCGGAGCCTCGTATCTTGGAGAGCCAGTCGTCGTTCCATACATCGCTCGAAGCCCTGCCTGAGAATGCCGAACGACCTGCGACCACTGCCGATGCCGACAAGGACCCGAGGGGCCCCGAGCCGGCATTAATTGGTGGACCGGAATCTATCAAACCCGATGGGCCTGATCCTGCCGTGATGAACAACCCTGAAGTCAAGAGTGAACCCCAAGAACGTCCCACCAGCGCCGATAAGGCCGGAGCGGACCAGAGTAGACCTCCCCTTCACCCCGAGATAGAGGGAAAGGTCCGCGCCATCGTCCACACCCTCGAAAGCTGGGAACCTTTCAAGGAGGAGCTCAAAGCCTTGCTCAACGACCAGTCCGTCCCTCCACGGGGACGACATCCTGACGATGACCGGCATGACGACCGCCACCACTCGCCCAACCCCTACCTCTACCCTGACGCTGACCTCGATCACCGCGACCGCGAGGAATCCCGCCCTCGCTCCGCCCAAACCCATCACCGCTTCCACTCTCAGCAGGAACGATACCATCACTCCCAACACCAACACCATCACCAACACCACCACCCCCCGCCACCTCCTCCGCCCCAACAATACCGCCCCTCTAGCCGAATGCCCCCCATGATGGGCCGCATTCCACCGCCGCCCCCTCCTCGGGGCGACCGCTCGGACGTAGACTCCCTCCACAACCCCGATAACGACATCGCCTCCGTTGCTTCCATCTCGGACCTCTCCGACCGAGAACTAGACTATGTCTTCGAGGAGCGTCTCCGCCTCGACTCCCTTCCCAATCCGCGGCCCAACGCCCCGCCGCCCATGATCGGGCGGCAGCCGCACGAGGACGACACGGAGAAGGACCCATGGAATGCGGTCGCAGTGGTAGGGCTGAGGGTCTACTACCAGTTTGCGGAGGGAGATGGGGATAAGGAGATTGTGAAGCTGAGGGTTATTCGACCGAATCTGTATGAGCTGGACGAGGAAGAGGGCGAGGATGGCCTGAAGAAGAAAGACGCGGAGGGTGGGGAGGAAAAGAAGGAAGAACTGGGGGAGGAGGAGGCTAACGTGTTGGATCTGGACGATAGCGCGAAGGACGCGACTGTTATTGGGTAGTTGGGGATTCTTGGACTGATGTGCCGAAGATTGTTGACCGCTGGCACCACACGGCCATTGTTTATTAATGTGCGTAATGATGAGTCGGTCGGAAAGAGGAAGAAACACCCAGGGCTTTTTTGTTTTGGGTTGAATCGGGTATCATTGCTTGCAAACACGCCGCCTGCCTGAGAAAATGACAACTCCAAATAACTCCGGTCCCGATGTCGCCTTCCGTGTCAGCAGCCATGCCTTAACGTGCTCCTCGCATCCGTGAGACAAGGCCCAGTACCTTGAACGACCGAAGCCCAGCGCGTACTCAGGATTAGCAGGTAGATCCTTCAAAACTTCGTCAACAGCTGCCCAACCTTTCTCTGCTCATCCGCCTCGACATCAACCACCATCTTATCGTCACCACCTTCACCGCCCCCCCTATCCTTCAACTGTCCCACCCTTCCGCCAACTCTTGCCAGCAACATCCTCATTCTCTGCAGCTCAATCTCCACCTCCCCATTCCTCGTCACCAAGTTCTCCTGCACCGCCGCCACATCCTCAAACGGCCCTAGCAGCGCCTTCATCCTCTGCAACCGCTCCATCCTCACCGCGGCCTCTCCCCTTTGCGTCGACAACTCCTGCAGTCTGCCTACCAGCTCCGCATACCTTTTCGCCTCAAGCGGATACGCCTCGGCCTGCTGCGGCGAGACGGCATCCCACGCAGAAGGCAGCGTAGCTATCATTTTTTCATCCGCTGTGCCATCCTGTCAGCAAAAACAATCCTCCACGTCGTGAACTCCCAAGCAGCACAGGTGCAGGTAAGAGGTAAACAAACCTAAATCAGCACCCACACCAACCCCCTCGTCGTCCCCTTCTTCGTCCTCGGCCGTGACGGCAACCGCAGAGTTCCAGTACAGCTGGTCAATCTGCTCTGCGACGTGGCGCGTAGCCTGCGGCGCAAAGACGCGTCGAGAGTGTTGTGCGATTTGGTGGTTTAGCTTGAAGAGCGCGTCGTCGATGGCTTTTTCGGGCAGTGAGCCCTCCTCGGCGTTGGTGTTTGTGGCGCGCCAGGCGCGTGTCGGGGCGAGAGGCTGGGAGAGGAGGCGCGTTTGAGATGTGAGGAAGTCCTGTTTTATGGCGATCACGGTGGGAGGGGCGGGAGCCATGATGATGGTTGCTTTGAAGTCTGGTTTGTGGTGGGGAGGTGAGAGGTGAGGTGAGGGTGGTGAAGTTGAGGTGAAGGTGAGGGTGAGGTTGAGATGGGTGGGGGATAGGGTTGAACCTCTTTGCGTTCTGGGTGTTGGCGACAAATCCGCAAATTTACAAACATATCGAGACGTGTTCGTTCACATAATTCAAGGCAGATCTAGAATATAGCAGTTTTTGCCTTATTTTTTAGGAACTATTTTCATCGGCATCTTCCCTTTCACACATTGTCCACACGTCATGTTGAACCCTAACCCGCTTTCATATGTAAGTCGTGCCTTCTCCACCACTGTGGGGCAATCCTGATCTGGTTCTGTGACTCACACCTGCCGTCCCACCCTTCTTGAGCAAAACTCTGCAGACAATTGTACATCAAATTACAAGCTTAGTAGCTCAGGGGAAGAGCGCCGGGCTCATAACCCGGAGGTCACTGGATCGAAACCAGTCTAAGCTATTCGTGACCTTCTTTTTTGAAGTTTTGTTCCAAACTTACTTCACTGAACTTTTTTGTGCCCATGATGACTGTCAGGCTCCTTTTCCGCCTTGCAGGTATTTTCCACACCTCTCCTACGTCACTGTCCACCTGACCGTTTGCCACTTACAGAATGCGATCCGGTCATAACTGCACATCACAGGTTGATGCTCCTCGGCGGAGTTCGAGCTTCCATCTTGCCAACACTCCCTGCAAGTTGAGACCAGAGACCGGGCCTTGGGAGTTGGATCTCTGTCCTAGTCTCGTACATGGATGTTCGGGGTTGGCTCTTCTGCTTGCGCGGCCTACCTTAAAGCAAGACAAAACACACCCAGCTCGATGCTTCGCTTCTCCCTTCACCACATTTCTCAGCCGCGCATCAGAACCCGCAAACGGCACTTGCTTGACCGGCAGAGCAAAACGACGTCATCCAGGGAAGGTATCCATCCAAGCAAGCCCTGCTGCAAGTGGAGATCCGCAACACCAAACCCCTGACCAACGGAAACCGCACCCCGGCCCTGATCAACACCATCACGAGACAGGAACTCCATCAGCAAAGGCGAGATGGCCGAGCGGTCTAAGGCGCTACGTTAAGGAGTTCCTTAATAACATCATCATCCTTCGAGATAGGAATCCTGATTCCGTAGTCCGAAAGGGCGTGGGTTCGAATCCCACTCTCGTCAACACCTTTCTTTTTACTCCTTCAGCTCGCTTCAAAGAATTCCTTTAAGTTACGCATTCTTTTTATCCTGTGGGCATAAAATGCCGGTAAGCTTCATGTGGCGGAAAGCATGTTTGGCCTTAAGTTTCAACCGGGTAAACCTTTCTGAGAGTAGGAATGTGCCGGGGCTAGGTTCAGTGCTGTTGCAGTTAAGGCCTCCTTGGTGGTCGCGCGTGATGGTCTACCTTAGTTTGCGGCAAACCTGTGACAGCCCTCGCAGGATTCACAAATCGCGAGGCCGGGAAAGTTGGTGGCATCATGTATTGGGTTGGGAAGTCAGTCGGCGGCCTCAATGCTTGCTTGGCCGTAAGACGCGGTCAAGGTATAAGGCGAAGAAGCAGGCTGCGGAGGGTGCCATAATCCGGCAGGGAAAATGTCTTGGTTCTGGCCAGTCGACACAGTCAACCCGTTTACTTGGCCAGAAGAGAGTCGCTTGACATGAGGTGAGCTATTGTCGAAGTCGGCCGACACATTAGCTGCGTACAGCTTTCGACGTTTAGGCGTACTCGAGGATGCTGCCATTTGATGGTAGCGGCCGAGGCAGATTCACACCAACATTCGACTCTGACGAGCTCCGGGACCAGTCCCAAGTTGCGGCAGTGCCGGTTGTTGCGCTCAAACCTAACCTAGGTAAATAGAGTATCGACGACAGCAGCCACCCCATGATCTCAGCAATCCCAGACGCACCGGCAGAGACTGGTCAGCTCGGCAGTTGATCTTTGATCGCAAACTTCAACCTGGAAGTTACCCGGTCCAGTCAGAATCACAGATGATTGCCTCCTGACATGACGACCCTATATGGCCGGAGCGGGCCGGCCGTCCTCCCTACTGGCGCTATCGGTCCGTTCAACCACTTTTACTGCAGGACAATTGTGTGCTGGGCGAGGAAAACACAATAGGAACGCTACCGGACTGAGATGCGTTGTCGACCCTTTTATTAAATACGTACATGACAGTGGCCTCCGGTGGGGCTCCGGCACGGCCGGTTCGGTACTGTGATTGATGGATCGGGAAATGACCGCGGTCCGGACGGCGCGGCAAGCTCCGCCCCGGATGGACTACCTATCCCAGCCGAGAATTTCCCCGGATTTTGGGCCAATCTGCGGCAATCGAGACATGTACCGCCGGATGGTTCCTCTCCGGCATTGATGTAGCCTGTTCATTGTAACCTGTTTGTTTGGTTTCAATCAATCGATGCCTAATTGTCGCGCTAGGTTCGTTCCAGTTTGAGGAAAATGCGACGTCGGTTACTCGTCAGGTTGTATGACCCAGAACCAGTCTGTGGGTGGGCTGGGGCCCCGGATATCAAAATCGGCACTTGAAGCTGTCGTTTCTAGTAAGTAACCGCGCTGGGGCTGGGTTTATTCGAGTGAAGTTGGAACTTGTTGGCCCGCTGACTTGTATGGAATCGCGTGGTGGAGGTGCTGTACGAGATAGCTCAGGGTGTTGGGAGAGGGAATTGTCAATGCGCTTCGCTTCAACCACTGAGGGCAGTAGGCGGGAGGAAATGAGAGAGATATGATCTTGATCGTGGGATTATTTAGTATCCACGCTGGGTTACATGTAATATGTCAAGTGACAGCCATGTGGCGAGACGATTGGAGGAAAGTACAAACACAGGTAGGTCCCTACCTTGGGACGCCCCAAAGGCAGACCATTGGCATCAAAGCATCGGTGCCGCTGCAGCATCGACGATATCGAATCGGAGAAAACCAGGTAGTCGGAAGACTCGGATCGAGCAGACGCTCTTGCGCCCCAGCCAGCGATGTCCCTACCTACCTTCAATGTTACCTCAGGTAGTACACAGTATAGATCGAAGGTTGCACCTTCTCGAGGTCAAGATCAGACCGGCTTCCTTCATGTCCATTTTGAGCTTGGAAACGGCGTCTCGCCGCTCCGTTCCATGCTGCTTTGGGTGGTCGACCCAGGCTTCATTCTCGTTGTCCACCACCAAGACGGCGGCTCCGATATCTGATACCACAGGTAGGTCACCGAGACTCACCCTCTCCGGAGAAATAGATTCTACGATACTTGGTCTCGTCTGTCGATAAACAGATTTATCAGATATAAATAAGAGCCTCCTCCGGGTGCTTCACCATCAAGCCCCTTTTGTCAGCACCACGGTCAACTTCAATCCCTACTTCCCTTCGTCCAGCTAACAAAAGCCTTCAAGATGAAGCTCTCGGCCCTTGCTCTCACCCTTCTGCCTTCGACCACGGTCGCGCACTACTTTTTCCCCCACTTTGTCATCAACGGCAGGGTGACGCCCGAGTGGCAGCATGTGCGCAAGCATGACAACTTCCTGAACCCCTCGTGGGAGGATGGCGCCTTCCTTAGGAGCAACGAGCTTCGTTGCAACAAGGGGGCCTCGAACCACATGCGCGAGCCCCAGACCGTCAGGGTCACGGCTGGACAAGATACCGTCGGCTTCCAAGTCTACGCCGGCACCGACGGCCTCTACCACCCCGGACCTGTCCAGGTACCTTTTCTTCTTCTTTTTTTTTTCTCTTGCCCATGTAGCTAATCATCCTTGAACAGATCTACATGTCCCGAGCGCCTGGCGATGTCCGCAACTACGACGGATCCGGCGAGTGGTTCAAGGTTGCGCAGTGGGGTCACCGGGCCGGCTCGACGGCCGACAGCAACTGGATCACGTGGAAGATGAGGCAGTTCACCTTCCGGCTGCCGTCCGAGATCCCCGCCGGCCAGTACCTCATGCGCATCGAGCAAGCAGCCACGCACCAGCCGTACACGCACCGCGAGTTCTACGTCGCGTGCGCACACGTCGAGGTCGCCAGCAACTACAACGGACGCGCCCCCTCGCCCACCTTCAGGATCCCCGGTGTCTACAGCCGCGACCAGCCCTTCTTCCGCTACGACAGCTGGGCCCAGCCCCAGCCCAGAGAGTGCCCGCTTCCCGGCCCGGCCATGTGGCCCAACAACAACAACTTGAGACACCTCAACTAGTTACCTACCTGGGTGGGCTACCTAGCTAAGGTAGGAATTTGGGACGACTTGCCGGGTGGCTTTGTATATACCTTCATACCTAGGTAAATATCTTGTACATGGCTCAATCAAGAATCTGTCAGCTCCCCTTTGTGCTGACCGGTTGGCTCTCCCCCAACATGCGCCTGTTACGTTTCTCTTGAGAAGCTCTCGTGGGGGTGTCGGGGTTGCCCGCATGCCGGAATGCTCAGTGACATGCCGGTCCCATCGACCTCGCATTAGCACCATTAAATCTCGTGTGATTACCTATCTGGATAATAGACCTCGGTCAGCTTTTTCGCGGCTCGGAGACCGAATCCGTGGTGTTGTATGTTTTTGGTGTTTGCCCCTTTTCTGGGGCCCCACCCGGCTCCACTCCCTGCTTGCCTTCGATTCCAGGCTGTCTGTCATTGACAGATACAATGAAACATGATTTTCAGAGCGTCTGTTGTTTTATCTAACGGGGAACCTGCCCCTGCTCAACTGCGGGACAGGACATGGCTGAAGGTTTCGCATTGATTCCTCGCCGGTACCGACGGCCTGCTCTCGCTCCTTCCGTAGCAGCGCATTTTGATTCGAGTCAACAAACTACTCGGGCTTACTCTTCTCGCTCTTTTTCCACACTTTCGCTGTCCATCTGACGTCACCGGGCCCCGCCCGTTCCCATTCCTGGCTCAACTGCAGAATGCGAGGAGTTCGAGGGAATGGCGTCGCATGCTCGAAGACCAGCGACACTCAGAAAGCAAACATCAACAGCAACTTAACAAAGCGCCTCGCACGTCTTTGAGAGTGTAACTTCAGCTCCGAACACATCTCGTTTTCATCTTTGGCTTCATTGCGTCAGCTGTCGCCGCCAACACCGACGAGACACATGTATCATGCTGCAGCCTTCCATGATCTCGGAATACCGCCCGCATGTCCTTTGCTATTAATTATCCCATCGCTGTGGGAAAACCAGCGACATACCAGATTCAACTTATCCAAAGAACATTCTGTTGGCTAATCCATTCCGAGTAGCAGTATTTCGACATACGGAGGGGCATCATGGCAGCCTCGCGGTCGTGCTGTCAACTGCGAACCCTTGCGCGATGTATCCAGTCTCAAGATAACTCGATTGGCCCAAAGAAAAACAACCGGTTCCGCGATTCTAGCTCCTGATCCTCCCTATGGAAATACTAGAGGGGCCTGTCCTCACGCATCGAGCAATGGCATATCCCGGGAGCAACGGGTTCAACGGAACGGGAAACATTTACCGATGGTTCTTCGGACGATGCAA